GACCTTTTGCCATCTCTCTGACAACTTGAAAATTCCACGCTCGTAGAAAGTCTGATCCTTTCCGGCCAAAAACTGAGTTAAATGAGATTTTACAGCGTCATCATCGTTAAAAGTTTTACCACGAAGAGAGTTGTCCAGGGGTCGAAATAAGTGGTAATCCGATGGCGCGAGATCAGAGCTATGTGGTGGGTGTAACATCAATTCCCAACCAATATCCATCAATTTTTGCCGAGTGGACAAAGACGTGTGCGGCCTAGCATTGTCCTGGTGGAAAATGACACCTTTACGATTGACCAATTCTGGTCGCTTTTCCTCGACCGCTGCATTCAATTTGTCCAGTTGCTAACATTCACGGATAATAAAAAATAACATAATAATAATAATAATAATAATAACTTTATAATATAACATTTATGGATATCATAAAAATGGGAGTGAGAGACATCTATGACTGAAATCGGCAATTACTTAGTTGCCAACCCAATATGTACTTATATTTCTCGGCCAAAAACGATTCCTTGTCGCTGTTACAATATTTCACGGATAATACTACATGCATATTCGTGTACAGAGAACTATACGAATTAAGACACTGATGTATTAATTACGCGTGTATACGTGTATCCTCAATAGACGTTCAAAATCGTGATCTCTAGCAGATAACATCATAAACCGAGGACCGGAGGGACTTCGTCGCGAAGAAAGATCCTCCTCCGTCTTCCTGTGCCCAATATTCAAATATGGCCACCGCCCACCTTCGCGATCCAAGAACAAAGACCGGCAGACTACTTTCTCAGAACTGTTTTCGCGCTAATATTTTCACGATCGCCAAGCTGCGGTTCTCCGTGTTCCGTGACTGCCGGTCTTTGTCCTTAATATTTGCATTTTATCGGTCGATTTCTTCGTTTGAACCCTACCGCTAATGGCGATGAAGATAATTAGGTGACAACAGCTGGCTCGGCCGGTTATCTGCCATAACATTTAATGCTGCGCAGTACATACATACTACGATCTATGGTTCCGCGCGGGACAGAGACACGTGTGCTTGCTTTCGTATCGTATCGCCTATGTGTGCGCTTGATGTGTATACGTGTATATGCCGGTGGTGAGGAACGTTCACACGTGGTTTGTCCGTGTGTGCGTCGATGTATTCGCGCGTGTTTTAAATGACCGCGCTGTCACGAGGCGACCGTGTACGGGTTCTTTATAAAACAGCTGTTGGGGACAGC